TATTTGGCCAGTAGAGACAGTAATGATCCAAGACTAAAAAGTCACTACAAAATGTACTGTAAAATTTTGTCAAAAGTCATTAAAGAAGCCAAACAGAATAATTATAACAGCCAAATTCTAAAATCAAACAATAAAATTAAAACCACTGGGATATTGTGAAAGTCGAATCAGGAAAGAAATCTGTTAATGAAGACGTACAAAGTTTGAATATTGAAGGGAAGTCCACTAACAATCCACAAGCTATCGCAAGTGCATTTAATGAATATTTCCTTTCATTAGCTGAGAAAACATATTCCAATAATAATAATAATAATAATAATAATAATAATAATAATAATCCAATATACTATCTGTCTCGTGCCTTTAACAATTCATTTCCAAATATCAATCTCAAATTCTCAACAAGGAAGGAAATTGAAAACATTATTAAATCCCTTAAGCCCAAAAATTCACATGGATATGATGAAATCTCTACCAAATTACTTAAAGCAAGCTCTGTTTACATCAGTTCACCCTTGAATCATCTATGTAATAAATCTTTATCATCAGGTACTTTTCCTCAACGCTTAAAATACGCTGTAATGAAACCACTTTTTAAAAAAGGAGAGAGAAAATGCATCTCTAATTACAGACCAATATCCATATTGACTTCATTCTCAAAAGTCTTTGAAAAAGTTATGTATAATAGACTACTTGAACACTTAAATTCTAACAACATATTAGTCAAAGAGCAATTTGGATTTAGGAAAGACCTAACAACAGAAAAAGCAACCTATGAACTAACTAACGATATTTTAAGTGCTCTCAATGACAGATTAATTGTGGGAGGGATTTTCTGTGATCTAGCAAAAGCTTTCGATTGTGTTAATCATGATATCTTACTATCGAAATTAAATTTCTATGGAATAACTGGCAAAGCTAATGAATGGATCAAATCATACCTCAAAAACAGGTATCAAAGAGTTGAAATAAATAATAAAAACTCCAGTCATAATGCATTTTCAAACTGGGGAATTATAAAGCACGGTGTTCCACAAGGATCAATTTTAGGTCCCTTACTTTTTCTTCTCTACATAAATGATCTATCTAAAACCATCAACAATAAATCTAAACCAATTCTATATGCAGATGACACTAGTATAATATTTAAGAACTCTAAATTTGAAAACTTTAAAAATGACATAAATATTGTATTTGAAGCCTTAAACAGATGGTTCGAAGCCAATTTACTCTCATTAAATTTTGATAAAACCCATTACATATCATTCACAACTAAAAACAACCACCAAATTGATCTGGACATCAGTTATGCCAACAAATTAATCTGTAAAGTACTTGATACAAAATTCCTTGGAATACATGTAGACAGTACACTGTCTTGGAAAATACATATTGAACAAATTATACCTAAATTAAATGCAGCTTGCTATGCGATGAGATCAATTAAGCCTTTTATGTCACAGGAAACATTGAAGATGGTTTACCATGCCTACTTTCATTCTATTATGAACTATGGATTAATATTTTGGGGGAACTCTTCACATAGTGTAATAATTTTTAAAATACAAAAGAATATAATTAGAATCATTACAGGATGTAGAAGTAGAGATTCATGTAGAGAATTATTTAAGAAATTAAAAATTCTACCTCTTCAATCGCAATACATATTATCGCTTCTCTTATTTGTTGTTTACAACAAAGATAAATTCAAATTAAATTCTGATGTCTATAACATGAATACTAGACAAAAATATAACTTCCACCTACCCTCATCAACTTTATCAGTATATCAAAAAGGAGTCTACTTTACTGGCATAAAAGTGTTCAACAATCTGCCACAAAGTATTAAAAACTTGGGCAATGATACTAAAAAGTTTAAATCAGAGTTAAAGAATTATCTACATGCTCATTCCTTCTACTCTTTAGATGAATACTTCAATGTAAATAGAGAATGATGTAAAATTAAGTTATATTAATTTTTAAGCTAAAATTGCCTGTACTTATGTATGTAACCTTTTGACTTGTTCTGTATCCAAAGGTACTAACCTGCTTAGGATTTATAGAATGTAAATAAATTCAATTCAATTCAATTTAAAAAGAAAAATTAAAAAAAAAAATAAGTAAAAGTAAAGGTATCTCTGTAACAGGCCTTGGAGGCCCAAAGGGTTGTGAGATGTTGAGGTTCCCACATTTTCTAGAGAATCAGCTCATAGATGGCGGCAAGGTTGTCAGCCTTATGTGCTGGCTGGCTGCCCTTTACCCCCAAGAATATTCCTGGTACTCATTCCTGTTAGAGGCTGAGCTGACCCGAGGGCCATAGTGTGGTTGGAAGGATTAGGTCAATTGAAAAATATCCAAGGACCTCATTGGGACTTGAACCCATGACTTTCCTGTTTGTAGCATAGTGCCTCAACCAACTATGCTGCCGCATGCCCCCAATACAAAAGAAAAGAATAATTAAAACTTCAGAAAGAACAGACAGTGTTGTCACGATTTAGGGGCAATTATAGATGGGGTACAGATTGGTGAATGGATTTATTGATGACTTAAAACTAGAAGCACTTACAATGCTATCACTGATCTACACACTTTACAAACCATCACAGCACCTGCTAAGCCTTTTTCCAGCCTGCTTTCATTAGTCATTTCCTGGTAACGTATCTTAACAATGGAGAGTCTTCAGCTTCCGTGGTCATGCCACTGTTGCTGGCTAACACTCCATAACTGAACTGCACCATCTCTCCTCAGCCTTCCTTGAAAACCTCTACTCTCAGCTAGGTGTTGCCTGGACACAGACTTGTAACAAGGGCTATTGCTTACGCCCTTAAAACTGCCAAACCACACTCACTAACTGCTGACTCAAGGCTAAGTGGCCCCAACTGTCTTCCTTACAATCCCTCTGCACGGACCATGCAGAAAACACCGTTTCAAGCACTAACTCTTCTCCTGTAGATCCATGTTTACCACACTGCTGCATAGCAACAGCTGTTGTCTCATTGTTTCGAGGTGTTTGCCTAGCAATGGGTCTAAATGCCACAGTATCTAAAAAATTTGACTTCAAGGTTACTCAAACTTTTCACCGATTCAAAGTCTACACCATTTAATATTGCAAGTCTGACACTTGCTTCTATCAGCTCTGTATGTAACAGCACTAGCAAACAACAAAGAAATACATTTCTGGTATGTTTAGGATTGGCAGTGGGTGGGGTGAAGGGTGTAATTATGTAAGGGGGAACCTAATTCTTCAGCTCTTCTTGGATCAGGGGAACACTGATAAGCTACTGTTTAAGAGTATAAAGAACCTTTTGCTTTACCTTCAGCCTGCTTTGCTGCTGGTCCCCTTCAGCCTTTGTCAATGTCTGTGATGCGCTGGCTTTCAGTTCTGACAGTGTTTCAGTTGAAGGTAAGATTTCTTCTTTTTCCTGCTCTTTTCTCTTAATTAGTTCACTCAGAACCTTCCTGTCTCTATCTGACCCTACATCCTTCACTTCACCATTCACTTTGGACGGGGTTGAAACAGCCTGCTTGTTAGATATTATCATGGCATTAACCATACCATTTAGGAATTCTTCTGGACTGCCATTCGCAAGGGGTAGGATGAATTTTCCTTTGTCACTTGGTTCGTTCTTATTCAGAGCTGCTGACAGTACATCATTGTTGGGAGACTTCACCAGACTACTGGGTGTTTGTTGAGTTGTTCTGTTTCTAGGCAGTGAGCCGACAAACTCGTAGTCACCAGTTACAGCTAATCGGTTTTCTATCACCTCACTTGTGTCTCTGTTCAAAAAGAAGTTTACTGAGGTCAGGTATTCTGAAGAATCTGGGAAACTTCACATGGCACTTTAAAATACAGCCAAAACTTATTATTAAACCCTTGAATTATGAGCAGATGTGATTTTCATCTCTAAACCACCAGTTCCAAGAAATTAAATTGTAATTAATTAATATTTTGTAACTTTTACATAGCTAATATACATACTTAGCTGAAGGAGCAATAGTACGGATCCTGGTCCGGGGGCTTTGAGGGTGCACAATGGTGCCTGGAGTTGTTATTACCACATTCTCGTATGGACTGCGAATCATACTTGGTGGCAGCGGGCTTGTTGTAAGAGTGTCATGAACTGTCACCTCGTTGCTGCCAAGATGACTTGCAGATGATGGCGGTGAATTTGCTGGCATTGTGAAGCAGTTCAAAGAAAAGGACCTGATAACGTTTTAAAATGAATTAGTAAAGAATACTGCACTCATTTCTTCAACCCTGTTATTAAGATCAGTCTTCTGGGATGTGACATCATATAGTTTGGTAGACTGGTACATGTGTTTCAGTGGAACCTGCTGCCTTCATCTTCAGGGAGTAAGTTCTTCTACCCTACAGATTAAGGCAGCAGACATCCTGAAATGTTGGTAACCATCTGCTGAATGGTGTGAGACATGTTCCAGAAGGCTGTATCTTCATGTTCATGCTGTGAGAACCTCAAATCTCAACCCTTTCATCACAACACAGATCTCGGTATGGCTCAACTGGCTGTCTCCCATAACAAAAGAGATTCCCATACTTCTCCTACATCATGGTGAAATCATTGTAGCAGTCCAGTCAATATCTTTGCCCTCATTCAAACAATTTGGGCCAAAAAACAGTAAACTGCTGGCAGAGCATTAAAAGAATTTGTGCAAAGATATTGCACATACTTTCTCATATGCACCAGATGTATCACGGTCTCTCACTTGGGTCTGTTACCTCTACAGCTGATTAAACTCAAAATCAGCCAAGCAATTCTTGAAACTAACATCGATTTAGCCAGAATAAGTTTTCTTATTAGTATCAACCCAAATATTTCTAAATGACTAGTTGATACATCTGCACAAGCATTTTCCAAGATACTGATGATTAGAAGAACTGGTTAGCACACTTTTCCATTCACATGAAATGCATGTATGTCACTTTTATTTTATTCTGAATTTTAAATATTTTCTGGGAACCCTATGTCACAATCATCCTGCCAAATACTGCTAAAATATACCGTTTTTTTTTTCTTTTTCAATTGCCATTTTTGTTAAGATGCTGCAAAGGTCAATGTATATAAAAACAAAAGACAAGCATTTATGATTTCCTTGAAGAACACAGCCTTTTGAAATGTGAAACTATGCAGCCTGATACCAACATTTCACAAGAACATACTGTCTCTATCTTCGGAGTTATGGAAGTGAACCAAGTAGGGGAAAATGGTACTTACTTACTTACTCACTCATGTAGCTGGGCCCTTCTTGAGGAGCCGCCAATTCTGCAGCTACTCAAGAATTTTCCAGCATTTTATGGAACCTGAAGGTTCATTACCATGTTCACAAGAGCCCTCCACTGGTCCCTATCCTGAGCCAGAGCTATCCAATCCTATCTCTCTAAGAGCCATTCTAAAATTGTCCACCCACCTATGCCTTGGTCTTCCCTGTGATCTCTTTCCTTTCGGCTTTCCCACCAATATCCTTTATGCATTCCTTGTCTCCCCCATTCGTGCAACATGACCTGCCAACCTCATCCTCCTTGATTTGATCATTCTAATTATACTTGGAGAAGAGTACAAGTTATGAAGCCCCTCATTATGCAGTTTTCTCCAACTTCCTGTCACTTCATCCCTCTTCGGTCCAAATATTCTCCTCAACACCCTCAGTCTATGTTCCTCCCTTAATGTCAGAAGCCAAGTTTCACACCCATACAGAACCACAGGCAAAATTATAGTTTTGTATATTATAATTTTTATGTTTCTGGACAGCAGATGAGAAGACAAAAGGTTCTGGACTGAATGGTAGCAAGCATTACCTGAGTTCAATCTCCTCTTAATTTCCTCCTGAATCAGGTTTTGATCTGTTATCGTCGTTCCCAAATATCTGAACTGTGCCACATTAGGGGAAAATGGTACCTATGTAAAATTGGTAATGGAGTATGGGGAACCATGTTCATGTAAAGACCCTTTTCTTAAGAGGGGAAAAGGAAGAAGCTTAAGAAGAAGGGAGGTGTGGAAAGAGGAAAATGTTTTCACTGGCTTGACTCACTTCTCCTACCCTGAAGATGGAGGCAGCAGCTTCTCTGAAATGGTGAACCTCTCTATAACACTGCAATCCTCAGATCTTGTTTAAGGAAACTCTGACTCTTGTGATATTTCCCCAGAATATGGTTTTGAGGCATATGGTTAATGTAATGAATTCAACATTATTGTAACATTTGATTAAGGAAGCCAAGGGGAACGTGGCAGCGTAGTCGGTTGAGGGGCTACGCTACAAGCTGGAAGGTCACTGGATTTTTTTCAATTGACCTAATCCTTCCAGCTGAACTATGGCCCTGGGGTCGACTCAGCCTCTAACAGAAATGAGTGTCAGGAATTAATTAAATAATTTTCCTGGGGAGTAAAGCACAGCTGGTGCGTAAGGCTGACAACCTTACTGCGATCTTTGAGCCAATTGTCTAGATAGTGTGGGACCCGCGATGTCTCACAACCCTACGGGCCTTGACGGCCTGTTACAGGGATAGCTTTACTTTTCTTTTTTTATTAAGGAAGCCAAAAAGAACTACTGTTTCATTTTCTCCTCTGTTTTCCCTTAACTCTTGGGTTTAGCATATAAAGCTCTTTTCATATATGTCTGAACACTATGTGGCCAGTACTGAAAACTGAAACAAAGACCATGCAAGATCTTAATTTAATTTTAAATTACTGTACAATGCAGATAACTACCTGTAAAAAGTAGAAATACCAGTTCATCACCAAGCATATGGTTCCTTTCACTGTCAACATCACACAATATGGTACCTCAAATTTATGAAAGGAATAGCATTAAAATTAAGAAATTAAATTCTACTTACACATTTAATAGTTTCAGAATCTGGATTCAAATTGTATCTGGAAATTCTACTGCAACACTTGTGCGTACTTACTAGAGTTTGACGTAAGTTTCGTAATACCTTTCAATGTTCTCTCTTACTTCCAGAGAAGGAAACAGGAAATTGACAGAAAGTTATGCAACTATGTTTATTCTAGAAAAAAATGGCTGTGCACAAAAAGTATCTTCTACCCTACCCAATAACCAACTCATAAAAAGTAAATTAAATGAAAGGGAATACTTATATTGTGCAAAAGCTGTAAGAAGCAGTTCTTACCCAATAACACTGGTACTGCTTGTCTCAAACGTAAATATCTCTCCAACTTCATCTTCTGAGGCTCCTGTACTTGCACTCGGTGAGACCAGACGTTTATCTCGAGGCAGGGAGCCATTTGTTTTTATCCTGAAATATCAGGTCAGAAGTCTTTAAAATAACATACTCAACTGATCTGGATTTTAAACCAAAAATAATCTCAAAAATCGGTAGTAAGGCAAATGCATTTTCTAAGACCACTACTAGGAGTCACTAGATTAGACTACAAAAAAGTGTGACTTCTACAAAACTATGCGGAATCAATCTACCCTCAAAACAGAAGCAGCAGTTGGTTCCTATTAACACTGGAACCTGTCTACCAGACTACATCAAATATGGAGGCAGCTGGTTCTTTGATACATTGATATACACGTATATCAACCAGACTACATAGTATCACAGTGCAGAAGACTGTAAAATTTATTTTTATTGCTTTCTATTCCTCAAATATTTATCTCCTCATAAAGTTCAAATATCACTCTGACCAATACCAACCAAAGAACAATTACAGACCACCATAAAAAGATTATGCGAAATGCTTTCCTTAAGTGCATAATACTCAACTGCACTTTTAATGTGAACAAAGGAATACTTCAAAGTCAATGGTAAGATACCATCACTGCTAGAACCAATCATTATATTCTGGGTCATTACAATACAAAACCAATAAGCAGAACACATGCCACATATTAAAAAAAAAGAACAATTCTGTTTTTGATTCAGTAATTCAAATGCAGGCATCAGTTCAAAAGTAACTGTGAATTTAAAAAACTAAAATTCTGTCTTTTTTAAATATCTTAAGTATTCACAGCATCAAACAATTTTTTCAAATTGCTGTAGCTCTCACAAAGGTATCTAACCACAGGCTGCATTATAACACATTTATTTAAACTTAATATCTTGTAATATTGTATATCAACACTATAAAAAATTCAGTGAGTATGCATCTGAGAACACTCCCATTCTGAATTATTTTTAATATACGCAGCATAGAATGTTCTCCTTCACAAAGGCAGACACAGCTACACATAACTAGGAAGTAGGTAGTCAGTAAACCACAATATCAATATTTTATATTCTTTGTGGCCAAGAAAGTATTCTTGTATAACAAGGAGGGAAGTATTAACCCATATCCTGTGGAATTGAAGAATATTACTGGTGAGCTGCACAAAGCCGAGTGGTGGGCCACAACTTGTGTGCCTACTTGGACAGACCTGTTTTATAATGTAACGTAACAACTATTTACAACATTAATTTTGTTGCTTATAAATTTTATAAAGTTTTACTTGAGCTGAATGTATTTGTTACACTGGAACAATTCAAAACAAATTAAATTTGTTGAACTTTTGGTGTAGACACACAGAAGTAAAATTAATCAAAATATGTTCAGCAGTTTTGGAAACGAAATCACTGAGTACATGGGTACAAACAACCTCCAATTAATTATCACTTAAATACCTTTTCTCTTATTAAAACGTTTTTAAGCTTTACAACAACCAAACAACATTAGTATTGCAAAGTTTATCACTATTCGCTTTGACATTTAGTCTATGAAGGAAAGTTTGTTCACACAATTTTGAATTATGCAAAATCTCCCAAGAAATCAACCATAAGAGTAACATATCGCCACTTTTTGGTACTATTTAGTGTACTTGAAACTTTTTAAAAAATCATGGGGAAAGCATACAGATGGACCCCCTCCCCAGTGGGCATGCATGTGATACACTTTTTGTTATATTCAAGGTAAATATACATCATTCTGTTAAGGAGAAATGTCAGATAATTGTGTGCCCACGATACAAATTTGTGATTTATGGTACAGCGAATTAAAAAGTCTAGTTCCTGACATGGGCTTTGCATCTCCCCCCTTCCCCCAGATTTTTTTTTGGGGGAAAAATGAATAAAAGGAAATTGCAAAATATCAATACCAAACATCATTTTTAATTGTGGCACCATCTATTCAACAGGGATCCAAAACACTGGGGCAATCTGTAAAAATATTCTTAAACAGCTTAAAAGTACATCTGTAAGATGCTCCTATACAGGTAAAATCCCCAGTGGCACCCGTCTTCGTCTAATCACAGCACGCTCTCTTTATATTTTCAGACAATAGCTGTCATTAATATAGGCTTAAACCTCTAAAATGACAGGACAGATAATAATACGGATTCAAAACAAACCAGTTTAAAATGTCAGCAATTGGAAGAAAAATTCCGTGTCTACGCATTGTCTACTCTATTTCAGTATACACCGCTTTCCTTGCTGATATGTTAGCATAAAAAGATTCTGTTATTTGACGTTTTCGCGGTAACCTATGAATTAATTTTCTAGCTGCTGGGGATGCTTTAGCTAATGTGTCAAAAGATGGAAGGTTAGGTTTCTTTTGACGCTTCAGCTGTGCCAAGAGATGGCACGTTAGGTTTCTTTTGACTGATAATGCTACATACCAGATATACGAGATATATGAATAATCGGTTTCAAACATAACCTCCTACGAGCAAACCTGGCCAGCAGTGGGAGGCCGGATTCAAATTTGTACGTTCCTATGCATTAAGGCCCGTCCACATTACTCGTGCCGTCAGGAGACTCGTCTGGCTTTCACTTGTGCTCGTAAATCTTCGTCCACACTACTTCAGTTGTTCGCCAGGCTTCGGCGAGTGAGGATCCGTATATTTACTCGTATAGGCTGTAGTCGTATTTTAATTTACTGGCTATAGTTTTTAAATTAAAAATTTTAAATAAACGAAGTTGTAGTAATTGCTGCAAGTTTCCTAGTGATACGCCTGTTAGGTCAGGAACAAGAAGGAAGACGCAAGAAACTACCTCAAAAACGCAGATGGTGGATGACCACAGTTTTCAAAAGTTGGGAAATCTACAGCGGAAGTGATCTCTTGGAGGACTTGGGAGTGGAAAATTTACATTTCAAGACATTTTGCCGTATGTCCCCATCCGACTTTGAAGCTCTAATAAGTTTGGTGGGACCTAAGATAGCAAAGACTGACAGCACATTTCGAAAAGCTATTCCAGTTGCAGAGAGGCTGGCACTTACGCTCAGATACCTAGCAACTGGCGATTCCTACTCCCGTCTCAGTGTTTCATTTAAAGTCTCCAAGCAAGTGATAACATTCTTCCTGAAGTTTGTGCAGCGCTTCTTGACAGTTTGAAGGCGTTTGTAAAAGTAAGTTCACGTGTAATAATGCACGTTTCTTTATTCTTTATTCATATTGTGGTCGAATACATAAAAATAATTACAAAACATTCAGCGATATCGACAGGAACTACAATAGGATTTCAAAACATATAAGGTAGAAAAGATTAACAATCAAATGAGAGAAATAAATGAAAATTTGAACAAAAGAATTCATTCGAAATGAATGAAATCAAGCAACTGTGACCTGACATGTCTGATACCGTCGGGAGCAGAAACAGATGTATGTTGAGAATTTCGCTGTTGGTTGGCCTCTGCATGTTGAGTGCTGATAGCGATTGGCTGTAGAGGAGATGGCACGAAAGTCGAGTAACTACAGTCGTTATCGCTTGAGCTTGACCTTGAATAGTCGCACGAGGTTCTAGATGATTGTGTTATTGCAGAAGGGGATGTATAAATGCCGCTTTCTGCTTTAAAAATTATGTCTGAGTACTCTTTTTTTTAACAAAAGCACGTGTTGGTTTATCCACTGATCGCAGAACATTCGCTATGTACTCTCCACAGGCGTCCATTTCGTCTCTCTCTCTTTTTTTTTTAGCAATAGCGGCTTGTAGAGCAGTGTACGCCTCTCCTATTTGGGGATCTTCAGTGTGTTAGCACTTTTTCGCAGAATGTTTCTGGGTGAAACAAATACTTTGTTTTCGTTTCGTGTAGGTGGTGCTTTGTTGACTTGTTTGTGCATGATCTGTTTCTTGGTTACTAACAAGACCACATTCATCACTACACATGATCGCAGCCTCTTCAAGTTGGGAGTGAGACGCTTCTCCTCCGTCCTGAAATAAAGCAAGGAAAACAGACTGATGTAAACAATAAAAAAGCAAGGAAAATAAAATACAAAAGAATAGAGGCAGGGCTACGAAATACAACTTTTTTTAAAAATATGGAGAACGGTATAGTCGTTTTCCCGGACGCTAGTACTCTCCCAGGAAGACAGAAAGGAGTACCTTACGTAATTGTCGCAGACGGCGCGTTTCCGCTCAACAATATCATGAAGCCGTATTCTGGACAGCAGCCCAGGGGATCGAGTAAGCGTATTTTCAACTAGACTTTCAAGAGCACGTCGGACCGTGGACAATGCGTTCGGAATACTTTCTTCCGTGTTCCGAGTACTAAGAAAACCTATATTACTGCAGCCTGAGAAGGCCCAAAGTGTTATTATGGCTTGCATATACCTGCATAATTTCTTGCGAAAAAGCTGTGATTCCAGACAAATTTATACTCCTGGGGGAGCACTCGATCACGAAGAGAATGGACGCGTAACTCGTGGAACATGGAGAAATGAGGTCATGACTGCTACAACGTTTACGTCATTGCCGTCCATTCCGCGACGGTCAACTCAGACTGCTAACGACATTAGAGATGAATTTGCTGCTTATTTCATGTCCGAAGATGGGAGAGTGCCATGGCAAGTTGATTATCAATAATTTTTCAAAAATTTCAAATTCAAGAATTTGTTCTTATTATTCAGTTACCAGATACCTAGGTACTAATAACTACGTACTTACATAGGCACAGTTCAAGTACCTACTTATGTGAATGTCTACCTATATTTTATAATATTTTTGTAACTCTAATTAAAATGTTCCAGGCGTGAACACACCTACGTTTCGTGAATGAGTTAACATTTTTCCTGCTTTGATTTTCTTCCAAAATAAATATTATGTAAATTACAAGTTTCGGCTATGAAACTAGTTTTACTTACTTCTGTGTTGATTGTCCACCGAGGTTGATGTCTGTCGTGAAGAAATGCGAAGACTTTGTATGAAAACCAGTTTGGGCGTCCACTTCGTCAGCTCCAGATCCCGATTTTCAGGCAGCAGTAAGCTTCTGACGCACTTTCCGGTATGTAGCTAACAAACTCTTCATTTTCTTTTTCAGTTCGGCCACGACTACACTAAGTTCCGTTGCGATTGAATCCCACGCTTCAGTTTTTTTTTTGTTTCACTTTATATAAACAGTGGGTAGCATCCCACAGCACCGGGTGTTTTTCGTAAACTTTTATGAAGTTAATCGTGGAATTGTTCGTCCACTCCATGTTCCGCGCTAGTGCAGAAAGTCGACTGATCAAGGCTCGTAATCGTCCACATGACTCGGGCGGCTTGTCGCGAACCCCTTCATGTACCGACAACAAGCGGAGCCCCACGAACCAATGGCTGGTGCGGCGCGTATTGCTTGTCTCGTGACTTGTCATAACGTCCACACCACTCGCGAGCATAGCGAGTCACACGAGCACGAGTACGGGCCTTTACTGAGCACAGACAGTTCTTGCGCCGTTGCTATATATGCGTTTGTTAGGATCAATGACTTTACGCCTTCTGCATGTCTGGTGCTAATAACAGTTTTCTTAACCATTAACAAGTCTGTTAATCTCAAAAACGAAGTCAAAGTTACAGATTTCATTTACATAAATTAATGCGTTCCAATATATACGTTATACAGAGAACTACACACACTGCATCGCTGATTCAAAGCTTAGATTTTCTACGCACTGTGACAAAGACGTGTTCCCACAGTTTTGGTTCCGAGCAGGGAAATGGGTTACGCCAGCCTCTCGCCATAAAAAAGTAACCCTTACGATTATACGAGTATATGGACGTGAAACTTGGTCTCTAGCCAAAACGGAAGAACATGATTCAATGTGTTTGAAAACAAATCACAGAGAATATTTGGGCCGAAGAGACAGGAAGTAACAGGATGACGGAGAAAACTGTTTAACGAACATCTTACTGAACTTCATGAAATGTTATTTGGGCGATAGGGGGTCGGATCTTGCAGCTTCTCAAAACGGATGTAAGAAACTCATACCAGTCCATTTTGGTCACTCCTAGTCCCGTCCGTAAGTCTCTGAAACCAGCAGAATTATCTCTATACAGTACAGCATTTTCTCCCCTTTCAGCCGAGAGGCACAAGGCGTAAGCTACTCTCTTCCCTCCCCCAGCCACGAAAATTATACTCCATTGAAAATGACAGCTGGGTCACACGTGACGCAGATAGAATATTGCAGTCAGAAACAGACCCCACTCCCCCACAACAACTTCTGATCGTTTCTAGACTCACTACATACGGGATCTATTGGCCATTATCAGTTCTACTGAAGCCATATGAATATAGAGCTAACTGGTAGTTATGAGCACTCACGGCAGTGATTATGAAGGGTATCACCGCGTGGTATATGACGACGGTGAAGTATACCGACGTTTCGGAACACATTCTCTATTTTCTGGACTGAACAGTAAGCCAAACAAATAACAAGCATCAAACAGTACATTCCTCCGAAACGCCATTATGAGACAGGCCTACCACCTGTTTGAACATTAAGAAAACTATGCATTTTGCGTGAAGAGTGTATTCAGGTGTTTAGCATCATTATCGACAGCGACTATTTCCCTAAATTGCATTAATCGGCTAGTCTCAGACGTAACTTAGAAGAAGTTTATGCTCCCATGGATAAAATAAACAACAGAAGCCAAGTACAAGACAAAAAAGGAATTCGGACGTCGAAACATGAACCAACAAGATGGAACAAAGTCCTTCAAACGCTAACAGGCTCTCAGGCAGTCGCGAAATTTACCACCTTCCGTGGAACCCAAAGGTTCAGAACCGTGTTCATAACAACCCATCACTGAGTCCCATTCGGAAGAGCTTGAACGCAGTCCACACCATCAAGCCATACTTCTTAAATATCCTTCCTAATATTATTCTACATCTTGCACGTGGTCCATTCCTTTCACTTTTTTCAAACAAAATCTTGTCTGAAGAAAGCAGTCTTCCGGGATGTGGTACCGAGTAGATGTGATGTTAACCGACGTTTAGGAGGAACGTATCGCCTCCAGCTTCAGGGTAGAAGGAAACATAAGAAAATGGAGGAGATACGTTCCTCTGAAACGTCGGTTAACATCACATCTACTCGGTGCCACATCCCAGAAGACTGCTTTCTTCATAGTCACCGCCGTGAAAACCTCAAATCTTACAAAATCATGTCTGTTATTTCTCAACTCTTGCCATTCGCAAGAATGGCAAGTCCTTGCACTGCCATAATGGCCACCAACACACTTCTGTTTTGCTGTAAGATGTGCATGCAGACTTGGATCTGAAGCTGAGAAGAAGCGTGTTGGAAGGTTGGAAGACTTATCTGACATGTAGAGTGCTTGTCATGGCTTGAAGTAAATCTGTCAGCGCTTGATTTTTCCAAGCGTGTGCAAGCAAACCGTCATGCAAGTTGGAGGTTATGTGGTGCTCAAGGCCGCGCCATAGCTCAAGCGGTTAGTCGCTGGCTTTCCACCGCGGCGGCCCAAGTTCGATCCCGGGTCTGGTCAAGTGGGATTTGTGGTGGACAAAGTGACGCTGGGGCAGGTTTTCTCCGAGTACTTCGGTTTCCCCTGCCAATCTTCGTTCCACCAATTGCTCCACAATCACCCTCACCTATCATCTGGGGCTGGTACAATAGGCCAGAAGTGGCCGCAGTACAAGGGACTTAGTCCCACCCCACTAGCAATAAAAAAATAAAGGGCCGTTATCGTTCTATGTTTTCTTTGACAGAAATCTCGTTCATATCTGACACACATTTTCAACACATCTTCACTCACAGTCAGCCCTAGCACATGACTGAAACATCCTATGCTGCACAAACACTATAAAAGTAACCTGGAATATAGTGGCGCTGAGGAGGGTTTTCTCCTAATACTTCGGTTTCCCCTGCCAATCTTCATTCCACCAAATTCTCCATCATCATAATCACCCGGGGCATGCTACAACAGGCCAATCAGTGGCCGCCGTGCCGAGTGGACCCAGTTGCACTCCACCCCCCACTAAGCGAATTAAAAAAAAATTGGAATATCAGATAGGCTATTTCAAGCAGGAACTAATACTAGAACCTGCAAAAAACATCTGACGAAGCCAATATGACTAGATTATTGCTGAAACGTCAATAAGTTAGAGGTGCACTGTATGAAGGCAAAGTTACTTTCAGGATCAAATCTAGTGCACCCTTCTTCTTTCTTTGTTTCAAACACATCCATACTTCGATCTGCTCAGTTATAACAGTGTAGTCTGATATGCAGTATGTTCTTCCCAACAGTTGGCGGTACCCGTGAAGGCATAATTCAAAAGACTACACACAATACGAATCCTGTGTCACGTAAATCTAAGTGCATTACTTGAAACTGACAGAGACTGAGTAAACGTAAAAGTGAAATGGCTTAAAACTTAAAATCAGTGCCGCCAGCTCGAGGTGGCAGCTATGATGGATTTACCTTTACCCTTCGCACACTTTCCAGAATGTAACACCTAAACGTAACAGCACATCATCTGAATGGACGTATATATATATCAATCTTTGTCATTAGTCAGTATATTATTGTTCATTGGCCACATGTCTTGCAGTATTGTTGCTTCTTCTGCACCATGGTCTCTCGCTTCCACAGGTATGATAGCCAGCACTGTGTAGTCTTACGTAGATAATTAATAAGGAATATTCTTGGGGGTAAAGGGTCGCCGGCGCGCAGGGCTGACAACCTTACCGCCATCTATGAGCCGATTGTCTAGAAAATGTGGGAGCCTCAACGTCTCACAACCCTATGGGCCTTCACGGCTTGTTACAGGGATACCTTCACTTTTTTTTTACTTTTATGAACTGAACGAAATGGGCCTACAATAGAACTGCGTAAATCCTGAAACCATCAAGGCAGCTGAGGCACTTCAAGGCAACTAAGGTGTTGTCTTCCAAGCCAAACAATATGTCCACTTCACAGCACTGTCACAGGAAGATAACGTTGCACTATCAACTAAGCCAACACAGGAATTAGGACAAGCTATACATATACATCCTGCCTAAGGCCGTATGATAATATACAACATAAAGCGGATGTCGAAGGACAGTTCTAGTACCTGTGTTAAGGCGCGTCTACATTACTCGTGCTCGTGGGGAGACTTGTCTGGCTTTTACTTGTGCCCGTAAAACTTCGTCCACACTACTTCAGTTGCTCGCCAGGGTTCGGCGCGTGAGGATCCGTATATTTACTCGTAGTGTGTATAGGCTGTAGACGTATTTTCATTTATTGGCTACAATTTTTAAATTTGCTTGTCCCGTGACTTGTCATTTCGTCCACATTACTCGCGAGCATAGCGAGTCACACGAGCACGAGCAATGTGGACACGCCTTTATACGTGAAACTGACATCTAATCTAATTTTGGAATCCCTGTTATTGTGTATATTACACATACTGATGCATGGGCACTGACAAAAATGCAAAGGAAAACAGACATAAACAGCATAAATTAAATTTGTTATGAATTTTCGGGTTACACATTAAAGGAACAGATCAGAAGGACGGTGATTAGACATGAAAACAATATATTCAAGTTAACTTCTCTATGGCGTCCAGACTGGCTCTGGAGCCCACCCAGCCTCCTATCCAATGAGTACCGGGGGGGGGCTCTTTCCCTACGGGTAAAGCGGCCGGGGCGTGAAGCTGATTATTCACCTCTATCTAGTACCGAGGTCAAGAATAGTGGAACTATACCTCCATCCTCACCATGTTTTCGTGGTTTCTTTTTATTGCTCGTGGGGTCGGTCTAAGTCCCTTGTACTGCGGCCACTTTGTGGCGGTCCGGGTTCGATCCCGGGTCTGGTCAAGTGGGATTTGTGGTGGATGAAGTGGCCCTGGGGCAGGTTCTCTCCGAGTACTTCGGTTTCCCCTGCCAATCTTCATTCCACCAATTGCTCCACAATCACCCTCACCTATCATCTGGGGCTGGTACAATAGACCAGAAGTGGCCGCAGTACAAGGGACTCAGTCCCACCCCACTAGCAATAAAAAAAACTTGCAAACCTCACTACGTCACGTGCCAGAAGACATTCAAGTCAGCATACTGTACCGGTTCTGCTGCAGGGTCGGCGTCTGGGGCGGCTTGCTCTGCTGCCTCTCGCACTGCACCTGTCGTTCGTATTCGGCACACATGTTCAGGATCTCCTCCAGCCTCGCTCGCTCCTGCCGCTCCGCCTCTTGTTCCCGCATTCTGGCTTCTTGTGCCTGCAACATCCCGAATCTAAACCCTTTCAGGCCCATACAAAAAGAGAGGAACAGGAGACTATGGCTCTGGAGGTTCCCGAGCAGTGCCCATACATGCAAGCAGCTTTGTAAGGCGTTGGGAAGTGAACCCTTTTGTTACACAGCAGGGAAATGAAGCTCAGCGGGGTCTTCACTGCTTTAGATCCGAATTGTGATCTTACTGAAGACCATGCGAAGCAAAATGTAAGTATTCTATTCCTACATATTAGATATCCACCACAGTCAGTAAGTTCGTGGACTGGCCGCAAAGCGTCGTTGCAGTGCACTATTGCAGATAGGTTGAGGCACGATATGATGCCCTGTTAGTTAATCTCTCGTCACAGCAAGAAGCAGTTGTGTGCAAACAGTGTAAGTAGAACTACGACCTCTATTGTGTACTGCAGTTAAATGCAAATGGCGGAAATCGAAAATGTGGCAGTTTGAACAAAGGGCAAACATCAAGTTCTGCCAAATCTAGGCAAATCCTCTAGCGAAACGTTTGATGCAGGAAGAATTGGCTGTTGCTACACGACAACGCCCCTGCACATCGCTCTGTTCTTGTCCAAGAGGAACTGGCAAGGAAACAGGTCACCGTTTTGCCACGCCCTCCATACTCACCTGATCTCGCACCCTGCGATTTCTTTCTCTTTCACCGCGTGAAAACAAAGCTACGTGGCCGTAGATTTCGGTCGTCCGAGGAGGTGGTCACTGCCACAATATACGCTGTGCGGGAATTTCCCGCCAATATGTTTCGGTAGCTATATCAACGTTGGCAGACTTGCACAGCGGCCAACGGCAACTATTTTGAGGGCCGATGTGGATCTGCGTAAATGTAAGTGAATACCTTGTAATATGATGCGATAAAACCACAGTCCACGAAATTAATGACTTACCACGTATATTGCGCTTGCATTATACAGACCAATCTACGTATAATAAGGCACAGTGGTAACAATATTACTATCTGCTCTAACACAATAACTATGAACTTTGCCCTTAGACTGTTTTCATTTGAGCAGGGAGAGCGCAGTCGGTGTACGAACTGGCTACGGGCTGGCCAGCCCAGGGGGTTGGAGTTCGAGTCCCTGAAGAGGGCAAGATTTCTCTCCTCTCCACGTCGAGACCGGTTCTGGGGCCCACCCAACCTATCTAATGGCCACCCGGGACTTTCCCCGGAGATAAAGCGGCCAAGGCCTGAAGCTGACCACTCACCTCCGCTTAATTCCGAGGCGAAGAATACGTGGATCTATACATCCATTCGCCCATACGTCTTCATGGTGTAGTGCTTACTTAGTTAAGCCCAGGGTTAATTTTGTACCTTTCCACTACTTTTCTTGTCATCATGCTGTATGAGTTTGAAAATACGCGACTCTTTCTCTAAGCAACATCACTAGATCGGTCTTTCTAACGGAGACGCAACGGGTACTCTAAATTGAACTGAATTTTTATATATTATTTCGAGGAATTTCAGATTTGAAAAGGCTAAATGCTGTTTAGGGAAATGTCAGTCTTTTTCTGAATATCACATGAAATCCATAAATATGCTCTGTAAGCAAAATTCACTGCTTTTTAATATTAAAACACATGCTACACATGGTTACCCCTGTACTTTAAAAATTAACGCAAAACCGCTCTGCAAACAGGAAATTGTTGTGTGAAATTATGCGCTTTATAAACTGTTTAGTCCATTAACTTCCATTCGCAGGGCTAGACATCTGTTCCCACGCGTTTTTAAAGTAAGCAATGATCTTTTGTTTGCCGACATAAGCTTCGCAGTTGCTGGAATCTAAGACATCATTTCACCAACAACCGCATGAAAGGCCGAAATATGGTATTTCAATGCCATTCGCCAGATAATTCTATAAACTCATTTCTAAACTGCGTTCCATGAAGAATGACTGGAGGAACAATGTAGGAAAGGTACGCAACGCAAAGAATTCTGGAGGGTTCCCTCATATAAGACGGAAAACACGTGCGTGGCATAAGACGTGATTCTCCTTTGGAACATTTTTCGCTGTTTTAAATATTTAACAAGTCAAAACGCGCACAGAAAGGCAATTAGGTCTTCTCGTAAAATATCTGTTAGTGTTGTCGGATTTTAACGAGAATTAGGAAGTGCCGAAGCCGGTCACGGTAGCCGAGCGGTCTAAGGCGTGCACTGTCTTCGCTCGCTCGGAAGCCGGAATCGTGGGTTCGAATCCCATTCAGGGCATGGATGTTTGTGTGCGTTTTTCTGTGTTTGTGTACAGGTAGAGACCTTGCGACGAGCTGATCACCCGCCCAAGGAGTCCTACCGAATGTGTAAGATCTAGAAAAACCGAAGTGAACGGAGAAGTTTATGGAGGTAGGCCTAGGCCTACTGGGGCTGTAGTGCCATGGGGGGGGGGGAAGTGCCGAAAAGATTCGGTAAAATTTTCGGATATAGAAATTTCATGAAAATTGTTTCACAGGCTGTCGAGTTACTACATGCGAACAGATGACGGTAACAGAAGCATTCTTGCAACTTTCCTTTGTGATCGCCGCGATTATGAGAAGGGACCTAAGATAATAGTGAATGAAAAAGTAAATACGAGAAGGAAGAACACAACAATAAAGAAACAAACAACTTATTTTTTATCTAATTTTCTGTGTTTCCTCCTCTTGTGTTGCCCGCCCTGCCTTAAATATGTCCGTTCCTAACACGATTTCATGCACGTTCACCAATATCCCTTAACCCAAAACGGAATATGATCGAATTTCCCAGCTGCAAATTTTATATACTTCCTTCGGTAAGGAAGGATGCGATCATCTCAGATCTTCCCTAAATTGCCCAGCCGTTTAGACGGAAGCGCTTGCCGCTCCTCCCGCCTAAGTGTCCGCCGGAGATACGGTCTACTGGCGGAATGGTCAAGCCCAGGACACAACATATCACAAATAAAATACAGACCACAACATATGCTGAAAATGTTCTCTAGTGTTGTTCTTCTCTAAGTCAAGTGCCGATTCAAGAAAACCAAAATCGAAACGTCAAGTTTTCACCTAAGAGAAGTCGGATTAAGTCGCAGTTATGCTTTAACATTCTCCTTCGGGTGCCTTGCACTGAAGGCAAATATTTCTAAGTCTGAAATGTAAAGTTTTCCAAGTTTAGTCCATTTTCGAAAAAATAATGCGTGAATATAAACTTTCTACGGAGATGCCAGGGATGTGTGTATAAAAACAGACGGCATTTCCAGCATCTGTTGCAATTTCACAGACCGCCTCTGCGGTCTAGTGGTCAGAGTTCCAGGCTAAAGATCCAGAGGTCCCGGGTTCGATACCTGGGCCTACCAGATTTTCTGAGTAGTGGGTCTAGAACGGGGTCCACTCAGTCTCGTGAGGATAATTGAGGAGCTACTTGAATGGAAAAATAGCGGCTCCGGACTAGAAAACCGAAATTAATGGCCGTATGGAGTCGTTGCGCCAACCACGCGACACCCTCTATCCACTAGTTGGCACTAGCCGACAAGCATCGGTCGCCCGGTCGGTATAGTTCGCTTGCGCACTAAAGCCACGGAGTCTCTTTTTTTCGCAATTTGACCACAGGCTTGTCAGTTCTGCTACCAGTATCAGCCCTTCCGTCTAGTCAGCTGAATGATCTTCGGTAGGCTCCAAGACGATCTCACTGTACGTCACGGCTGAGTAAATTACCACTCCTACGGTATACTCGGGGATATCCCTGGTTACATACCAGCCTGGAGACCGGCTATCGTAACACAGAGAATGGTTAATCGTAAAGAGGAAAGATGCGGTCGTACATTTTTGCTTAGGTCTCCCAGGTAACCTACTTCCTTCAAAATACCCGATTAAAGTTCTGCACTAATTTCTCATGTGCCACACGCGCGCTACATTTTCCACCCATCTCAACTTTCTCGATTTCATCACCCTAATAACATTTGGTGAAGCGTAAAAATGAAGCTCCTCATTATGTAATTTTCCCATACTCGCCGTTACTTCCCTTTGTTGTAGATCCAAATATCACCTTCAGCGTCCTGTTCTCAAATGCCTAAGTGTAGGAACACATACAGCGACATCGGTCGTACAGAAAAATGTCGTACGATTTTTTTGCAGTACGACCTCCTTTTCACACTAGATCGACCAGATACATTTCTTTGCTCTCCGAGTGTCGTACGGTAGATGTCTCATGTCGTCACGTATGAAAGCTAAGACTTGGAACACACAGCGATATGGGTCGTACGACGTCCGTATGGCTCATGTCGCATCAAGTAGTGGTATATAAAGTGTAGGGTTCAAGTTTCATGTCAGTAACACGGCTGAAATATTACCGGCAGTTTAAAGGCTGGCAAGATGGGATGTGTAGGCGGCACTCTCTTGCCTTCACGCGTTCACGGAAAGCGCAACGGTAGTACTTAATCACATCATGGCGGTCGGCCAGCGATATGGAGGAAACGCCACTACAAACGTTCTGATTTCCACGAAGATGAGACGGTGGAGGGGGAAGAGAAAGTGGAGAGGGTGGTATTGTGCGAGACAGAAACATTCTCCTGCGTTGAAGTTTCCCTGTGTGACCGCCCGTTCTTCTGGTAGAGACACGCGTTTCAGAGAGGGTAAAGAATGAGGAAGTGAAGGTAAAAGGGGCAAGAAACGGACCCTGTTATGAGAAGAGAAAGAAGGTTTAGCGGGGGGGGGGGGGTTTACTGTATATGACCGGAATTTTGATGTTTTGTTCATTAGTATGGATGCCGGTGTGCTGTGGGGTTTCTGAACAGCGCTACCGCGAAGTGAAGTTACGCCATACGAAATGAACAGACTTGACGCCAAGAGGCATCCGTCTCTTCGGTCTAGCAACAGCTTCACCTCCCGCACCCCAAAATTAAAATACGTAAGCTCTGTTTTGTGAAATCTGATGTTCATAAGACGGTGATAACGGAGACTGTTGTCTTCCAGGATATGAGGATGTGTACCTTGGTATAAGTATACCAACGTTTCGGAAGAAGTACCGTATCGATCTTCACGTTCCTCCGAAACGTCCACAAACTTATAATAGACTACACTGCGTCATATCCTGGAAGGTAGTAATCTTGAAGCTTTTGTTTTACTTAATATATAAACGTTTGTGACGATGGTGTATTAATAATTTTATTGTATTTCTGGACGTTATCCATCGTCCTGTTTCTGTTTATTCATTTGTATCTCCGGAGACGGGAACTAGCTCTATCGAGTGGGTCCAACTGAGTAGGTACCACCTTAAGACGGATACAGAATCCAGTCTCCAAAACGTAGTGTTTTTAAAATAAAAACAGGAAGATGGTTAAAGTACAGAAACACAATAATTCTATATGGGTGGGCTGACGGCAGTACAGCGGAACGCATTCCACCTTAATACTTACCGATCTTATTCAAATTAGGTCTACAGCTGTCCCATATGTCTACAATCTTGAACCGATACGATTTTATGCTGAAAATACCTAACACGGAAACAGTAAGAACTCTCGTGGCTATGCTTCTAGGCTCCCTTACTTCAAGTTTCATCGGAACTACTTTCTTTCTCGTAAGAACATTAATAGACCGCAACTGAAATTCATTCAAAACCTGAAGGGAAGACACCGCTTTGAAGACCTGGACATAGATGGGAGTAAAGGTAACGTTATCCCTGGGTTTAATCAAGCAACACGCACTGAAAGCATATAGAGTGGAAGTATACCTCCGCCGACCTTAATCTCTACACTAAATGGAGGTGAGTGGTCAGCTTCACGCCCCCGCCACTTTACCCCGAAGAAACAGCATCCCGTAACCATAGTCAAGGAGGATGGATAGAATCCAGAGCCGGTCTGGTTGTTGTAGGGAAGAAAGAAATGTCTCGCCCCTGCCGGGGATCGAACCCTAACTCCTCGGGAGTTCGGCCTGTAGCCCAGTCGCTACACCGACTGTGCTGTGTCAGCTTCTGATGGGAGGATAATATTAATATACATCTTGATAAATATGGCGGAGGAGGGTGAAGTACGTTCATGTGGCTGAGGACAGGGAGCAGTTGTGGGGGGGAGGGTCTTTTGTACATTATTTTACAACAATATGAATGTTTAGAACCTCCATTTAGACTGCAGATTCAAGTTAAGGTTTTACATTTTTTTTGGGGGGGGGGGCAGCAGCCTTCGGGTTGCATAAGAGGGGGAGAAGTTCTCGGCTAGTTGAAAGACTACCAGATTTTAAAGCAGCATTCTGCCCAACTGAATTAATTAGTTATGTACGTATATCGTGTTACCAGAAAATACCGCTCTATACATTTGTGCCTTACGAGGAAAGAGCTTATGTAAATTTGAATTACATATCTTGTGAATTTTGCCAATAACAGTTGCATGAACAGTCTTGGTTCGCTCGAAAGCTAGGATCGTGGGTTCGAATCCCACTCAAGGCATGGATGTCTGTGCGCGCGTTTCTTCTGTGTTTGTCTTGTGTGTACGTAGCGGCCTTGCGACGAGCTGATCCCCCGTCCAAGGAATCCTACGGACTGTGTAAAAAAAAAGATTACGAAACTGAAGAAGAGGCCAGGGCCCAACAAAGGGCTGTAGAGCAACTGATGAATGACTAAAATCTTGTGAATTTAGAATAGTGATGTACACTCTGCCAACATTTCTGAGGGTCTGTCAAGCCTCGAATAGGTAGGTCCCTATCGTAGGTTGAAAACAGAATCTACATGTGTCTGTCACTGATGATGGTGCAGCCTCGAAGATATTTTGGAAAGAGTACTATAGCTTTATGATAATACTACAAACATGCCATTAAAAAATTCCGAGAATACTTGTTAAAACAGTACGTGGAAATCGTGACTTGGCACAGCTCCTTGCGGGGCCACACACAGAAGGCACTGTGCAAGAGCTCAGTTACATATACCAAAGTCTGTTGGTGGAGAAAATAAAGCGAAATACCGTCTTGTCAGAGAAACCTGATATTTACAGGGGGCGTGACAGCCAGAAACGTAATGAAATGAAGGCCCTAAGTGAGAAAAAAAGAGCACTGAAAATTTGATTTTATGTGGGTGACGTCTCTAAACCTCTGTGCTAACATATTACATTATCCATTAATCCAAAAGAGTTAATCGACTGAAAGTATTAAGCGGTGGATATCCCACTATAAAATGATAATTATAATGGACACACCTTAATACTGATGCCTTGTAAGGTCTGGTCTTTATGCCTGAATATTAAGGTAGATTTTCTTCCGAAACATTGGTAACAACATGAATATTAAGGTAGATTTTCTTCCGAAACATTAGTAACAATGTACCATACTAATGCGCCGTTTCATAACCTAAAAGGCAACATGAATATTTAGGTAGATTTTCCTCCGAAACATTGGTAACAATGTGCCAGACTAATGCGCGGTTTCATAATCTAGAAGACAACATGAATATTAAGGTAGATTTTCCTCCGAAACATTGGTAACAATGTACTAAGCTAATACGCGGTTTCATAACCTAGAACACAACATGAATCTTCACCGCCCTGGCAGCCTCAATCTCTCAGTACGTACCTGCTTCCTCTTGTGCTCAAGTTCATCGTTCCTTGCTGTCAGCTCCTCTAGGCTGCTACAGTTGCTGGACGTGAAGCTTGCCCGCGGATTGGGGTCTGCCACATCTCCACTCCCCGCCGACAATGTCCGTCTGTGCCCCACTGGTGTAGACGACGCACCCAAACCGGTGCTTCTAGGCGGTGACGGAGTCACACTTCTAAATGCACTTCCTGGAGAATAAGGGAGTGGATTCCTGTTGAAGGCTGGACTTGGGGTTGTGAGGCGAGTTGAATATCCAACTGAAGGTCCATAACTGGAATTTGAAGACTTGGTGAAGGAAGAAGAAGGTTCGTTACTTCCAGATAGAGACCCTGTTGACCCCATGGACCGATCAGAATTGTGGACACTCCTGTCGAACGCTGGGCTGGACGTAACACTTCTGGACATCCCAACTGGCGTTCTGTTTGTGACTAGTTTGGAACCGTGAATACTGCACAAAGGGGTAACACTTCTTGCAGTGGTCCCATTCACTAACGGCGTGCTACTAAACATGTGTGAGGTGTGAGGGAGGCCAGTTGGTGTAGCACTTCTTGACCGAGAGGAAAATCCGTTCTGGACACTGGTGATGGTTTGTGAGCTTGGTGCTGAGTTCTGGGGGGTACTGCTCCTCCCGCTCATTCCGTTTGTTAGAGGGGATACGTGTGTTACAGGTGAGGCACGAGAAGGGCCCAGTACGGCGCTGGCAGGTGAATTCGCAGTAGGACATCCGGCAGGAAACACTTTGGGCGAGAAATGCTGGAGACGATTTGTGACACCTTTGTTCTGAGAGTGGGCCATCAGCTCAAAGCGTGACACTTTGCCCAGAACACAACCGTCTTCACTGCTGGTGCTCATATCACCCCAACTGTCCCTAGGGGAACGTCGCGGTGCCATCGGTGGTTTTCTCTCCAGAGCAAATCCTTCAGTGCCTTCCGTACCTACAACAACAGTCTGGTAAAGATACAAAACAAGGTGGTTCTTGTGTCTAACCTCCACACTACGAAGGCGTATAGGCCAGGTGGAAGTAAAGCTCCAGGCATCCTCACCTCGCATTAGATAGACGAGTGGTTAGCTTCACGCTCCGGCCGCAATACCCCTCGTACCCACTGTATAGAAGGCTGGGTGGCCTTTAGTCAGTTACGGACGTGGAGGCTAAATGAAACATTTTGTTCCTGCAAGGATTCGAACTACGGCTGCCTAGTTCGACGTCAGCAGTTTAATTTTCATGCTGATATACTGATAGTCGCGTAAGTAGTTCGGTTTACCTCAAACCTGTAACTGAGTTATGAATGTCAGCTGGTTTTGATAAATCGATACGGTTAAGTATTCGATATTGATTCAACGTATCGATACATAGCGTGATTTCAAATGCGTTCTAATTTGTTTGATGGTACAGAAAAATCGTAGTCTGTCCATGAGAGGAAACTATAAAAGATGTTTCACTTTGTTATTAGGAAGCGAAAAATGTACGAGTGATCAAAACAGAAGTGCAAGCAATACGAATGTTCTAAACGAAATTTTTATTTAAAATACCAGCGCCTGAAAACGTTTTAAACAAAAGTACAATTTATATTATAATTTATGTACCTTACATACGTACTACTAATAATACTTCGTCAGAACAGAGACTATCGGGGCAGCAATTTCCGCCGCTGCGTCCAGACCAGCTCTGGAGCCCACCCAACTTGCTATCTAACGGGTCCCAGGGGCTTTATACCCTGGAGTAAAGCGACCGGACCACTCAGCATCTACAGTCGACGTTAAGGATACGTGTAATTAATTATACTTACACCATACGTCTTAATGGCGCAGTGTTCAATGAAACACAGGACCAACTTTGTCTTAAACAAATGCAGTACACAGTATGTTGTTAGTCACTTCGAGATTAAAGGCCTTTAAACAAAACGATTCGAAGTAGATACAAACGTCTTTGATATTGATACGGAATTATACATCGATTAACATCCGTAATAAGACTGTGCAAGTACACCATGTAAGCTGAACAGGTGCGTTTAAAAGAAGGAATTATAAACGAAATAATTAACACTACGATGAACTCTTCTAATAAACAAACTTTAAATCATATTCAATTTATTCAGTTATGTGATACTCAAATTGCAAGTAGCATCAATACCACAGACATACTGAGTGAATAAACAATTCCTAAGGCTTCAGTGTTCTCTGTCACTATACATTATAAATTAAATTTATGTATTCATAAATAAGGAAAAGAATTATACATGAATTGTTTAATATATGCTTCGAAGTCTATTATAACAGAGCACTACATTAAAGAATAAAACAAAATTGGTTTTAACACAGTGTAAACTCAATAAGGCTGCAATTATATTCTGAAAACCGTCGCTGGCGAGTAAATATGCGTTTTCTAAGTTTTTTAAGCTTTTAGATTTATCACGGCCACTGTTCAATTTCGTGTTACCATAGCTACGAACTGTCCAGCGTTAACACGTTGCAAGAACAAGTTATGTAGGTCACGAACGAGCGAGCGGTCTTTTGTTTCAGTATATCGTGTTTGTTCTGTGGGTACTGATATTTTCTTTATGTGGATACATGAAGTATAGAATACTATACAAAGGAGACAGTTTACGAGTGACTACATATGTGTTATTCGTGGGTTACACGTCAGCCTCGACGCATCATTCGGTAACAACTAGGGCCGAAAAGGAATATGGGAGAAAGACGAGGAAGTTAACAGTACAAATGATCATACTTCGTGCTGAATTCTAGTACAGTATACTCATAATATCCACTGTTTCATTATTTCGGGAGCTCTAAAACTTGCATAGAAAGGACGGCTTATACTGGAAGTAAAAAGGAATTACTTCTCTAAAACTTCTGTTTGAAACATGCTTCTCTCCGGTAATAATATTAGGGAGATACATGTACGTCTTTCATGTAAAATGATCACCGAACTTGTCCAAACTAAATGCGAACTCAAATGGCTCAAATGTTTTCGCAAAATTCTTTAAATTCATGAGAGTCCGCCCAGCTATTCTGGAATTGCTTCACGCGCATGAGCAAGCCAAGTAGGTACTGCGCAGGACTGCGAACTCGCCTAGTAACAGCAGACTACGTCACCTGGATGCAAGGCGAGTGGAACCATGGATATGCGAGTGTTGGGCAAGATACTCTTCATGAGCCGTGCTTCAGCTGGGTGGTTGAATCGGAGGTAGTTCGAGCGCCCGACGCACAGCATACACCCTGGGGAACAGGTCACAATAAGTCTGGTTCACGTACCACAATGCAGCCTCACACCCAGCGCCCAAATAAACGGAGAGGTGTCATGCCTCAGGTGTGAAGGAAATGTCAGTATCCAATTCTAGTTTGAATACTATGGCGGCATATTAATCCTCATTCGATGCAGACCGGTATTAAATTCTGCTGTCACATACAAAACCAATGTACCCGACATCTTCCCGTATTAAGACGTCGTCTTAACGGGTCGTTAAGTCGAAAAATCGTGAGTCGAGTTCAGACACATTTTCCAATACTATCGCCCCTAGTACTGCGTAATTCTACTGTTCCTAGTACAAAGTAAGGAGACATAAGATAACACAGCATGAAACATTGCAACTATTAATAATATAAAAAATTAATAAATATTTGACCATGGATGGTCAAAAATTCGAGTTTAGAATTGTAACCGCGAACATTCAGAACGTAAGTACAGTGTGACTCTAAATTACTGTCGGCGTTTCCGTGGCCTATAATTTTCAAACCGGAAAAAATAAAATAGGAATGCTCACGGAATATTAAAGCGTAACTCAAACAGTTCTATTACTTATAGACTATATTCTGCAGAATGCTAAACAACTTAAACATGCGCGCCTTTCACAGCACGTAATATCCAAGCGGTATTCAATTTCCCTTCGAGTATTCTCCAGCATTTGAGGTGTAACTGTTTCGATCGCAGAAAGAACATTACCAGTCTGAATTTGCTTTAACCAACGTCGCACCAGCATTATCTGTAGGTGGATCTTCTCCATATTGAATTCTGTAACGATGCTGCGTTTTGATAACGGATTTGTACTCATATTGCTTTCTCTTGAATAGTTAGCCGTTTTGAGGTATGACGTCATATTTTCTCCCAGACATCAATGCGGCGAGTACACCATTGACAAATAAAACTTTTTCAGTTACAATTTCATATTCCGTAAGCAGTTTTATTTTGTTTCCGGTTTGAAAAATATAGGCCACGGAAACTCCGACAATACTTTAGAACCATCCTGTATAATGGTAAAGACACATTGCTACATGAATATTAAGATACTGAAGTTGAGAGCACAAGTTGTACTAAGCGGTACTGCTGTTTACTAGCAGGCGGTGAATACTGCTCAAGCACACCTCCCACTGTCGTTTGTTGCTGCCATCTTCTGATACTTTTCGTAATCACGATCGACTCTGACTGCCAACACATGCAATGAGAGAATAACAAGAAACAGTCTCTCATACAGTGCGAGATAATCGTTCGGCCGCTCAGGCGGAGGAGTCTAACCCATTACCGCTTAGTTGAGTTTTGGTTCTGGAAACGGCAAGCCCACACATACCCTACTCTCTCTTGTTATCCATGCAGACGCAGCCCCCGAAGTACGACAAAGCTTTCACCCAAACATTAAAGTTCCACTTGAAACCGGAAACTGAAAACTCCCGTCTCCCGCGCAGGCGCCTGAGGTATTTACGAGGAAAACGTTAAAATCGATTTCATCCAGTTTCTCTTCGNGGCGGACCCCCCCCCCCCCAAGCTGTTGGAATTGAGGTTCTCTGGCATATAACGGCATTTCGTCCGGTGAAAGTGAAACGACATTTCAGAGGAACATATTGCCTCAATCTTCAAGGTATAAAGGAACGTCAAGCAAGAAACCAGCATGAGACAGGCAACAAAAGCTTGCTGTCTGCTTCTGCATTACTCTTCGACCCTGAGGATGTGGGAGTTATGCTTTTCGGAAAGACTGGTCAATTTTCACTAGACTACACGACATTATATCTCAGAAGACAGGGCTCTTTATATCTGGCTTGTAGACTCCGCCACCAGTCCGCATCCCCACGACTAGACTGGCCTTCCGCCTGAGCGGCCCAACGATTGGTGACAAGCTCCAGGCATCGCACTGTGCCTACCGATGTTTTATGATTCTCAAGGGCACCCAAACGCCCTTCCGGGTAAACTTTGGAGCCCGCTAGAGATCCCGGGTCCAAATGAACATTTACTGACCTTGCGTAAGGCGTGTTGCAGATGTTACTTTCAAACCATCAACCGAAGTCATTTCTGCTACCGGATGTAACGTCACAACTCCATTCAAGTTGTCGATGTGACAGTGTACGGGTTCGACTCCTGTTCCCTGTACCATGATGTCTACATCGAGTCCGGTTCCAATTGTTACTCGACCTGCAGCATACAAAAACGATATTAATTAACAACCAGCAGGAATTTAATAATATAATATCAAGATTACAAATAATCTTGCAATATTTCTCGAGAACTGGCCATGTGAAAGATCAAGAAATACATGTAAGGGTAACAGATATATTAAAAATCAATTTTAGGGGGCAGAGGATGTTATTAGGAACTGAAGTGGATGAAAGTGGCAAGCCAGGATCATGTCCAACGGGAAAAACTTTTTTAATCACGGTGCTGAACTTAACGAGAGCAGTTCATCATTTATCATAATTGGCAAAACAATCCTTTTTGAGCCACAAACTTCCTTGGAACATTCTGCCAGATTTGTCCTTAGACCATCAGGTTTCCACTTATTTGGATTCTGCAAAAAAAAAAAAATATATTCTCGCGTCCAGCCCCCAACCTGGAGGGCTAGGTCTCTGTATTTATGTTCCCCAGTGACAGGATGGCCCATTTATACCCCCAGACACCGGATTCCCTTTTCATCGCCTTATGTAACTCGCATGTCTGCGATGGAGGTATTCTACCCCCCCCCCCTCCACAAGGCAGAGCCCAGTTCTGTGTGGCTCATCAAACGACGATGCCAGTATGGAGCCTATATGGCAGTGGTTCTCAACCTTTTTCACACCGCGGCCCGGTAAATTCTTTTTTCTATAAGACGAGGGCCCGAAGGTTGAGGAGCACTGCTATATGGCGTTTGGTGGTAATTACTGATAAATTAAGTGAGGCGGATTTGGAAAGTGTCCGTCACTAATCGAGGTACTTCCCGGACAATCTCTCGGAGGGGCCGAGGAAAACTATGAAACACATACCAGGACAGCTGGTGTTACGTCCAAAATTCGAACCGAGCGCCTCCCGGATAAAGTCCAGAGTGTTAACCTCTATACCAACGTGTAAGGTGGGTTCGGCTGTTAGTGGTTGTTGTTTTGTCAGTTAAACTCCGTATCCTCGACTTGTAGCCAACAGCGTGGTAGCGTTCTGTTCTATTCGACGTGTAGCCAACAGCGTGGTAGCGTTCTGTTCTATTCGACGTGTAGCCAACAGTGTGGTAGCGTTCTGTTCTATTCGACGTGTAGCCAACAGTGTGGTAGCGTCCTGTTCTATTCGACGTGTAGCCAACAGCGTGGTAGCGTTCTGTTCTATTCAGTTTCTTAACAAGTCCAGTGAGAATTCAAGAGCCGTCTGAAATGTTCACATGATTCTGGTAATTGTGGGAACACACGCATGGCACACCTTCGCTTTCGGCATTTCCTTAACACGCTTCTGCTTAAAAGAAAGCATTATAGTTTTGTTTGTAACAGCGTTCTTGAGTAAAGATCCATAAAAAGTGGCCTTCGTGCTGCTAGCTCAAATCTATACCACTCCTTCCCATGAAGTTTTCTCAAGGCGGTACAACACAACGGATAATGTTCGCTAAAACAGAGAAGGGTGTAGCACCAAGTACAGTCCGACACAACTAATTCCTTACCTTAACTAAAATACAATGGTAATTACATGCACGGCCTGCTTCGACACTAAAAAAAAAAATACATTTTAACCACACCGCGTATTAACGTGTTTCGTTAAGATTCTCAGAATAAACAAGGATTATTTCCCAAAACGGTACTAACGGGATAGTCTTTGTAATGGCGATGCAGGGTTTTCTACGAGGTAGGACCACAGTCCTGCCCATCACATTAGACCCACGGTCTTCGCCCGCTCGAACACAGAGATCGTGGGTTCGAATCCCAATCGAGGCATGTATGTCTGTGTGCGTTTATTCTCTGCTTGTGTTGTTCTGTGTAGGTAGCGGCCTTGCAACGGGCTTATCCCCCGTCCAAGGAGTCCTACAGACTATGTATAGGATTAAGAAACTGAAAAAAGCGGCCAAGGTCCACAAGGGCTGTAGAGCCATAGACACACAGGACCACAGTTATTACGTATTACTCAGACGTTCCAAAAGACTAATCACAATTAATACTGCGAACTTCATAACTACCTCTGTTAGAACCTCAAATTCTCTTTACTTGTACACCTTCTCATTCATAACATGTCTATGCTTTCTAAGGTAAGGTAGAAGGCCGCGCCATAGCTCAAGCGGTTAGTTGCTGGCTTCCCACCGCGGCGGCCGGGGTTCCATCCCGGGTCTGGTCAAGTGGGATTCGTGGTGCACAAAGTGGCGCTGGGGCAGGTTTTCTCCGAGTACTTCGGTTTCCCCTGCCAATCTTCATTCCATCAATTGCTCCACAATCACCCTCACCTATCATCTAGGGCTGGTACATAAGGCCAGCCCACCCCACTAGCAATAAAAAAAGGTGAGGTAGTAATTAGGCCGGTCACGGTGGCCGATCGGTCTAAGGCATGCACTGTTTTCGCTCGCTCGGAAGCCGGGATCCTGGGTTCCAATCCGACTCAGGGCATGGATGTTTGTGTGCGTTTTTCTGTGTTTGTCTACAGGTAGAGGCCTTGCGACGAGCTGATCACCCGCCCAAGGAGTCCTACCGTATGTGTAAGATCTAGAAAAGCGACCTCCGTAGTCTAGAGGTAACGTTCCCACCTCATAACTCATAGTACGCGGATTCAAATACCCGGCGGAGGTCGTCGAATTTTTAAGGGCGGAAAAATTCAGGGAACAAATCCTCCGGGAGGGACTTTAAGCCGTGGGTCCCGTGTCGTAGCTTTACGGCATGTAAAAAAATCTCATATCTTCAAAGGAGGTCACTGAGCCAAATTACGGATGTTTCCCGCCCAACAACAGTCTCTAATACCTCCGGTAGATGGGGGAAGCATTTCTATACCTCTCAGCTAGTAGAGCCGGTCTCGCTGGCTGGGCGGGACTGATGGTAAGCACCAGTACCGGTATGATATAGAGACTGGTAGAAATCATAGAGGGAAGCACAATGGACCAATACAGGTCTAAGTGCATGGGGAAACCCACCCTCTCCAATAACTAACTAACGAACTAACTAAGATCTAGAAAAACCGAAGTGAACGAAGAAGTTCATGGAGGTAGGCCTAGGCCCATTGGGGCTGTAGTGCCAAGGGGGGGGGGAAGGTAGTAATTAGAAGTATTTTAACGTACATATACAAGTATGTATGTATGTATGTATGTATCTGTCTGAGTTAGCATGTAAAAATGATTTACTTAACTGCTATAATTATTACCATTTTTATTGGTTTCCTCGTAACTACCTTAGCGTTTACTGGTATTGTTTTTCTTGTTCTTCTTATCTTCATACTTTTCTTTGTTGTGTAACGAAGAAATGGTAAATTTTCCACTGTGCTATTTCCGAAACTGGCCTTGAGGCTTTTACCTTTACGTTTCCCTTTCTCTGTAGTATAATTATAGTACCTATGCCTTGTTGTGTCTATAACCGACCTTGCAGAAGTCGACTCGGAACATTAATAAGTCAATCAAATTATCAAGTTTAACGGATAATCCCTGGGAAACCTGAATGCACAGAGTACATTCCGAACCATAAGCACATGTTACTAAGACGTCTCCCGTTCAGTTAAACTCTAAATGAAATTTTCTAGGACTCACTTCGACTTGTTAACTTATTTCGGTCATGTTTAAGACGCTGTAAATAGCTCGGGTTAGCTACAAATTGTAGAATGATAGGTAACTGGTGAATGGTCAATTGTAAACTGTGCAGAATGATAGACCATGGGTTAACTTCAGGTACAATAATGACATTATCCCCGGAGAAGCTCTGGGAACTCCAAAAAAAAAAAAAAACCTCTAAGAATACCAATGTCCAAACCCAGTGAATACTACACAGTAACGATGAGAAATAAAACGGTGGCGGCCTATTTAAATATACTATCCAAGCGTTTGCCTGAAAGGACTGAGAAAAAAAAAATCAGAATAGTGGGAGTTCCGGCCGAACTTCGAACCGGACACCTCCCAAATACAAACCAGAAACGTTTTTTTTAATTAGCTTAGTGGGGGGTGGAGTCCAACTGGGTCCACTCAGCACGGCCGCCACTGATTGGCCTATTGTACCTGCCCCAGGTGATTATGATGATGGAGAATTTGGTGGAATGAAGATTGGCAAGGGAAACCGAAGTAATCGGAGAAAACCCGCCCCAGCGCCACTTTGTCCACCACAAATCCCACTTTACCAGACCCGGGATCTAACCCGGGCCGCCGGGGTGGGAAGTCAGCGACTAACCGCTTGAGCTATGGCGCAGCCTATCAGAAGCGTTAGGATTGACGTAATTGGTTCGGTCTCTCGGTTTCTCACTGCATATAACCTGGTTATCCCCTGCATCTTCGCCTAGCACAAAAACGTTTCACTTGAGACACAAACGCACAGAAGAATACATAGACTCCTAAAATTATTCCGGCCAAAAATATCGTAGACATTTGGCAAGTAATGTTATCGTACCGTCTGCAAGTCCGGAGATCGGTTTCGTATTATAAAAACGCTCGAAGACAGTTCTGTGCTATTTCTAGGGCGACATAATGTGAATGTCTGCGACCGGCAGCACATGCAGAAAACAAGGAAACGAAAATTAAAACTCATCGCTCCAATCGTGGTTACTTCCGCACCTGACATACAAAAACAAAGAGACTGTGGCTGAACACATAACCCTTTAAATCATACGTATAAGGTCTAAATGTAGCCATGTTTTGAAATAAGTTAAACCTCAGCCCTTTTCTCACATATTGTACTTACGTATCATATTAGGCTGCGCCATAGCTCAAGCGGTTAGTCGCTGGCTTCCCACCTAGGCGGCCAGGGTTCGATCAAGTGGGATTTGTGGTGGACAAAGTGGCGCTGGGGCAGGTTTTCTCCAAGTACTTCGGTTTCCCCTGCCAACCTGCAGTCCACCAATTGCTCCACAATCACCCTCGCCTATCATCTGGGGCTGGTACAATTATCATATTTGATTCCCAGAATAAAGATCGATTAGTTGAAAAGCATTACTCGATATATTCTGCCACTTACTGTAACTAACCGTTTACATTTTACTGATCAATGCAACCACAGAATTGTATTGCCACTCCATGAGTGCCCATATGCACGCCACAAAAGTATGTAAGTTTCGTCCACATAACCCAACCGTCCTTCCGTCTCCACTGTACCGCAGATCTTCGTCAAGGAAAAGCGTGCGTTTCCTTCTGATGGATTCAGTATTCGTTGCTTTTCTGGCGTGAAGATGATGATATCGTAACGAAAATTTATATGTTAACTTAGCTTCATGTGGCATCTAACAAGTCTGGGCAATCGCAAATAACCAGGGGGACTGGAATCAACTTCAACCCCCTTTATTAATGAGAACGTGGCTTCTGTTAGTTGCAAACCGAAGCAGTGTTGCAACTCTTGCATACTTGCTCCAAGCCACAGTCCTTTATTTCAAGCAGATTCTAAAAAGTTCTGATGATGGTGTATAATACTTAGTGGGTTGTCGGACTTTGTCCATTGTCCGGTATTCTAGAAACTAGAAAACACAACGTCTCGGAAACTGAACACGTTTCCATCCTCAGGTCAGGGGGGGGGGGACACCTACTCTGTTGGGTTCCAGAGAAAGAGCTAATTTCAGTCACTGTCGAGTGAGTTCCCTCAAAAACAGCTAACCTCAATCACTGTCCAGTGAGTTCCCTTAGAAAGAGCTAACCTCAATCACTGTCCGGTGAGTTCCCTTAGAAAGAGCTAACCTCAATCACTGTCCAGTGAGGTCCCTTAGAAAGAGTTTACCTCAATCACTATCCAGTGAGATCCTTTAGAAAGAGCTAACTTCAATCACTATCCAGTGAGGTCCTTTAGAAAGAGCTAACGAACGTGTAAATCACTATTCAGTGATTGAGGTTAGTTCTTTCTACGGGACCCAACAGAGCAGGCGTCTTCCGCCCCTTACCTGAAACAGCTCCAGTTTCCGAAACGTTTTATAGCTTCTAGAATTCTGGACAATGGACAAAGTCCGGAAACCCAGTAATTCTGAGCAGTTTACTTCAAATTCAGCATATTCAGAAGGCCGAATTAAGTTCTGTACCTTGTGGGAGTGGATGCAGAGTAACGGCTGTACTTAATCTCCCGCCACCCAGACTCACGAGATGCGGTGCGTCAGTGTGCACTTTGAGGGCCCTCCCAGACTCAACCACTTCCAGTCCTTCGTGTTGGCTCGTCATTGTTCAGTCCTGAAAACAGAGAAAAGAGAACAATGAGCTACTTCACATCCGACTTTTCTCCCCCATAGACAACAACGCGCCGCGAATATTAGACATCGCGTAACACTAAACCGTCGTAACTATCTGCGCTCTTCTCAAGTCACTTACCGTGACGCCAACCTCGACTTCACCAAGTGCACACTTAACGACTTTGGAAATGTAAGCACAGCGCAACGATTCCGTCGCGTTTGCTCCCGTGTTGACTGTCTCGAAAACCAAGACTTATCGGGAATCCTGCACACTCACTCACTCACTCATGGAGCTGAGCCCTTCTGGAGGAGCCGCCAATTCTGCAGCTACTCAAGAAATTCCCAGCATTTTATGGAACCAGAAGGTTCATTATCGTGTTCACAAGAGCCCTCCACTGGTCCCTATCCTGAGTCAGATCAATCCAATCCATCCTATCTCTCTAAGATCCATTTTAATATTGCTCACCCACCTACGCCTTGGTCTTCCCAGTGGTTTCTTTCCTTCTGGCTTTCCCACAAAGATCCTATATGCATTCTTCTCCCCCATTTATGCTACATGCCCTACCCATCTCATACTCCTTGACATGATCATTCTAATTATACTTGGTGAAGAGTACAAGTTATGAAGCTCCTCATTATGGCAGTTTTCTCCAACCTCCGTCACTTCATCTCTCTTCGGTCCAAATATTCTCAACACCCTTTTCTCGAACACCCTCGGTATATATCCTCCCTTAATGTAAGAGACCAAGTTTCACACCACCCATATTTGCATTTCTTAATAATAATCGTCGTCAACCTTCTGCGTCTAACCCCAAACTTGGGGGATCAGGTCTCTCCATGTATCCCACCCCCCAGCGATGACGGGGAGCGTTACCACTGTGCCTTAAGGAGTAAATCCACAGTGCTATTCGAAACATTCTCTATCGAGTGGAGATAAATTCCTGATAAACCTTTTGGAAATGCACCCCCAGTTCCCTAAGGAGGATCATGGGCCAGATATTAGCGTCTTTTTTTCTCTCATGGGGTGACACTTAGTCCACTTGGTACTGCGGCCACTATTGGCCTATTGTACCAGCCCCAGAAGATAGGTGAGGGTGATTGTGGAGTAACTGGTGGAATGAAGATTGGCAGGGGAAACCGAAGTACTCGGATAAAACCTGCCCCAGCGCCACTTTGTCCACCACAAATCCATGACCTGACCCAGGCTCGAACCGGGCCTCCGCGGTGGGAAGCCGGCGACTAACCGCCTACACTATGGCACGACCTATCTTAGCGTCTTGATCAGTTATGTGCATGAAGGGAACTTACTCGTACGCATATATCGCCTGGCTCGTGCGGTGATAACCACATTATTATGATCTGTTCGCCTTATTATCATGTAGTAAACAAGCGTTATCACACTGTTATGTAGGGCAGTTTGCAGTATCTTCCTTAAACCATATAAACTACACAGAAGACCTTTAAGGAGTTGCGTCTCCTCTCCACTACATGAGGCTATACGGACACACCATTGATCAGGTAACCCTTCGGAATTCGAAGATCGTTTGAATTATATTTACGTATTCAGTTCCTACCTCCCATAAAATTCACTGCGCCCTGTCGTTAATGTTGCTTACAGAAATGGCAGTTTATACCGAGATCATATGTAACACATGAACAAACTACCGATAACATACGAAACACATGAACAAACTACCGATAACATATGAAACACATGAATAAACTACCGAGATCATACGAAACATTAATAAACTACCGAGATCATACTAAACACATGAACAAACTACCGAGATCATATGAAACACATGAATAAACTACCGAGATCATACGAAACACATGAACAAACTACCGATATCATATGAAACACATGAATAAACTACCGAGAGCATATGAAATCATGAATAAACTACCGAGATCATAATGAAACACGAACTACCGAGATCATACGAAACACATGAACAAAATACTGAGATCATATGAAACACATTAATGAACTACCGATGTCATGCGAAACACATGAATAAACTATGTGGCCAAAATTAAGAGAATTTTAATGTCAAGTCAGGTGGTACAAGTTTTACTCCTGGGCTCTCAGAAGGTCGATACAGTGGAGGAGGCTCCTTCTTGAGAAGCTGATAGTCACTCATTTGGCCAAGATACTCCTTCCTTTTATGGGAACCGTAGGCTAGGCACACTAGCCCGTTTACAAGAATTCGTATTGGACACTGCCCTGATCCAGATAAACGCAGTCTAAAGGGGGCCCATACAAGTACGAGTCCGACTCGGCTCGGGTTCCAATGAGCCAAACTCGTCCGTGTGTGGGTCGCAAAGTTGGGAGTCAGCTCACACGTTTGTGGTGAAATTAATCCGAGCCCGGCTCCCGAGTCAAGCTCGCCGAGACGAACTCGCGAGCCAGACTCGTATGTATATGGGCCTCTTAAATCATCAATCATTTCTTTCAAGAGTCACTATCTACGCCTTGGTCACCCAAGATGTCCCTTTACTTCAGGTTTTCCAATTATCACCTTCACCAAGAGTGTTACAACTTCTCCCATGCATCTGTGTAACTCCATGGTGGAGAGTCATTCTTGAGAAACTGAAATTTCGCAGATAGTCAAGAAATTTCCCTTATTTATGGGACCGAAGGTTCATTACTGCGATCACAATAGCCTCTGTACTGAACCAGATAAATCCAGGGCGTTGTCATTTGCCTGGACGGACTCAGTAGAACCACGACAATTGGGGTAACAGGCCCGGATTCCAACGTGGTGCTTACCAATAGAAATCAAACCTATGTATACACTGGCCCCACGTCACTCAAAATTTAATTTGTCCTTGACAACCGAGGAAAGGGTGGTACGTTACAAACATTCGAACTGGCATGAAGAAATGTTTGTGCCATATCAAAGTTCGTTTCGAGTTGAGTCTTGCAGCTGGTTTTTCTTGTCTCGAAATTCTCTGTCAAACAGATAACCTCCTTCAATTACCGAAACTCCCAGTAGAATAATTAACATTTCTGTTTCGCGTTCGGGAAATTTGGAGCTCAAATGTCAGCCCGAAGACCGGCAATACTGACTGAGGTATTTATGGTTTTCTCTTGTTCGCTCCAGCTAAATGCTGGGATAGTTCTGTAATTCTTACCGGATCGTTCCCAATTCATTAATCACGCTGAGGCCCATTTACTGTTAAGAATCAGCAAACTTCATACCTCGTGCAGCCAACCTTACGGAAGAAAAGTCTTGTGATCTCTGAAGTTCCCAACTCGCGTGTGAATACCGGAAGTGTGGTAAAAAATAGAACATAGTAACTCCCTAAGATGGCGTAACTGCCTATGTGACCAACTGACGATGATGCAACCATGCTTCCTTTTTTTTTTATTGCTAGTGGGGTGAGACTAAGTCCCTTGTACTGCGGCCACTTCTGGCCTATTGTACCAGCCCCAGATGATAGCTGAGGGTGAATGTGGAGCAATTGGTGGAATGAAGATTGGCAGGGGAAGCCGAAGTATTGGGAGAAAACCTGCCCCTCCGCCACTTTGTCCACCACAAATCCCACTTGAGCAGACCCGGGATCGAAACCTGGCCGCTGCGGTGAGAAGCCAGCGACTTCCTCGCTTCCTTAGTAGACGGAGTACACTCACCGGAATGCAGTCTCGGCTAGTGTTGACATCCTTATCTATCTATGGCTCTACAGCCCTATGTTGGGCCTTGGCCGCTTTTCCTTTTCTTAATCCTATGCACAGTCGGTACCACTCCTGGGACGGGTGATCAGCCCGTCGCAAGGCCTCTACCTACATACAGAATAACATAAACATATAATAAACGGTCACAGACATCCATGCCTCGAGCGGAATTCGAACCCACGACCCCAGTGTCCGAGTGGACGAAAGCTGCTCATGCCTTAGACCGCGTGGCCACTACGATCGGCGATGACATCCCTATACAAGCCATAAGGGTGCCCGGATGAAATATGAGATATACTTATTTTGTTTTGGATACGTTTAATCCGGACACCCTGTATATTCTCGTTCAACATGTCGAAATAATGACGTAAATAAGCACTAGGTGCGGTGCGCAATTCTGCGGCTTCCAGGCATGTAGAAGCATGACGTCTGCACAAAGAGAGGGCTTTTGTTCTGCGATACGGACAAACCTCACACGAATACGTGTTCATATATTTACAACAGAGATGAACACGTACACAACAACTGGATCCTGCCTCTTTTAAACACGTCATGTTCATACATAATAAGCCATAAATATACTAACTCTTCTGCTTACATTGCAAAGATAGGGTCTGTGTGTTTCCACACACACAAAAAAAATCGTAAGTTCAAATTTTCTGAGCTATCAGCAGAACGAGTGTACCGAAGAAACGCCAACATTTCATGTCTCCTGAAATTCATTTTTCTATATCCAGAATGGAGACAGTAGGTTCCTCCGAAACGTTCATATCCATACACTAAATTAAAATTGGCTACAGCCCACAAAACACGTAACGTAGGACCTGACATTCCCACATACTTCGGCCTTCTGGGGTACATCGACGTGTAGTCCGTTGAAAGTCAACCGACGTTTCAGAAGAACATATGGCCCCCACATTCATGGTAGAGGAATAACCCCAAAAAGAAACGAGCCTATCTGCTTGAGTCGGTCGATTTCAACGGACTACACGGCGTTATATACCAGAAGACATACCTCTTCGTTCTTCTGCCCTCAAGATGGAGGTAGGAGGTTTCTCCGAAAAGTTTGCACCGATACATCAAATTGCAAGGGCTCATTTCCATACGTAATAATTTTCAAGTCTTACATGCTTTTCGATCTACACACGATAAAAGTAAATTTGTCCATATGCTTAATTAACTATCACACATTTAAGATGTACTGGGGTGTGGAGGTACAACTCCAAGTAGTCATGGTGAAATTTGAGTGCATCAGTTTATAACATCATGTATTTCATTTTTTTATTGCTAGTGGGGTGGAACTAAGTCCCTTGTACTGC